GGGCGGCGATACGCCCGGCGGGCGGCAGCCACAGTTCAGGGCGGGGACACGCCTGGCGGGGTTCCTGGCAGCGCCAGCACCTCACGCCTGGGGCCAAGCTGAAGACGGCCGCTGTCCGCGTTTCTCCTGCAGGTCGCGGCTCGCTGACTTCTTTGCCAACTGCCAGCCGGAGCCACGTTCGCTGTCCGGGTGCTTGAAGGAGAACTACGGAGACTGCCTGCTCTCCTACTCCGGCCTCATCGGTGAGTCGCACAGCCCCCCAGCCCGATACCCAAGCCAGCGCCGCTCTCTCCATGCCATCTCAGACCCATCAGCTCCTAAGGCTCCTGCCACTTGGGGCTCGGATTGTCCTCTTAGCTCACCACGATGCGGCAGCCCTCATGCCTCTCTGTGCCCCCCCAGGTACAGCGATGACGCCCAACTACCTGCGATTGTCACATCTCAGCGTGTCTCCTTGGTGCGACTGCAGCAGCAGCGGGAACAGCAAGGAGGAGTGCGACAGATTCACATCGTTTTTCACAGACAACCGCTGCCTGAGTGAGTCATGCACACCTGTGCCCATACGCACACCTGTGCCCATACGCACACCCGGCACTCTCACGCACCTTCGCGAACGTGCCACCGACAGTACAAGGTCACACTGGATCATAGTTGATCTGTGGCACTTAATCTGCTGATCACCACCTCTATCAATTGGTGGGATTGAAAGTCAATTTTAAAAAAACTCCACGCCTCACACACCAGAAACTGCCTCTCCCATCCCCTAACCCCTCTGCGCATCCCGGACCGGCAGCCACGTGAGACCAAGGGCACCTCTGTGAGACTGAGGGACGAAACGACCAAACGGGCATTTAAGTCCAGAAGCTTCATTTCTGCATTTCTTCCAGGATTAATGATCGAAAAAGCGGTGATAATGTTGTGAGCTTTCTTTTCACGTATGGCACCTATTTAATTAAAAGCCGTTTGAGGCGCTTTTAAAAGCCGTGTTCCATGCCACGCTTCTCAAGAGAACAGTTCTGCTGAATGAAAAATCACAGAAACCTATCAGGCCTTCCAAACACATGTACTAAATGGATGGGGTGCTTTTTAGAGCTGTGTGTAGTGAGTGTAATTAAATATGTGACGACAGTGTGGTCTACACAGATCTGCACAACAATAACGTAGATGGATGAAGTATATTTACAGCAAACATGAGATGAGTGCAGTACATAGCTATGTAGAGAGACTGAGGAGAGGGTGGACCGTGTGTATGCCACAAAGGGAAGGCAGTGTGGTCTCCATTGATATAGAGACTCTAGACAGGGTGGTCTGTGTATATGGGAAAAGTAAATGCAGTGTGGTCCCCACAGATATAGACAGAGACTGTGGACAGGGTGGTCTGTATGTCTGGGGCAAAGGTAAGGCAGTGTGGTCTCCATAGATATAGACAGAGATTGTAGACAAGGTGGTCTGTATGTATGGCACAAATGGAAGGTAGTGTGGTCCCCAGAGATGTAAAACCACGGTCCTGATAGATTTGGACTGTCGGATGTGTTTGACTACAGCCAGGACAGACTTGGACACCGCAGGGCTGGAGCTGAGACCAGGTGTCAGTGCTGGATTTAGTGCTTCACCGCGTGAGAGCAGCTAGTTTGCAGGTCCCAGCTTCCTCGAGAGGCCCTGCCTCTACCGAATTAATAACATGCTGTATTTTGACAGTGAGTTATTTAAAATCAGATTGCTTGGGCTGGAGCAGAATGGAGTTTACTGTGAGAAAAAACAGAAAAATGCTTTTTCACTCCGTAAAATTTTTTTCTGAGAGGTGGAGGTGAGTGGGGGGGAGGGGGCAGTTTCTGGCGGCTTCCAGCCCCGTCATGGAGGGCACCCAGAGGAAGGGCCTGGCCACTAGCGCCCAGAGCTGCTAAGGGGACAGATGCTGCTTTTTCAGCAGTTGGGTTTTGAGCCTGTCCTGAACCGCAATGCCCCTGGCTTCCTAGGCAGGGTAACCCTCTCGGGGCTCTGCAGAGAGAGAAGCACTCCCCTATACCATGTTATCTTGAAAATTACCGTGATGAAGAGCCACGGTGAAACATGACTGGAAAGAGGTTTGTCTCATGAAATACGATTGGACAAAAAGCAGGTCCCTCACGGTCCACTGGGCTGGACTCCAGCCTTTTCTTCTTGCTGTAAATAGCGTTCCTGCGTTCGGTAAATTTCCTTGTTTACCTACTCTGGTTAATTTCCATGGAACCACAAGCAGCTGTGATACTCTGTCTGCTGGAAGCACACATCATTAACCAGCCGCCACGCACTACACAGAGATAATTAGCACTTCTGCTAATGTTTGCCGTTGTCAACAGCAGCATTTGCTTATAGCTGTTGATCTACATTTATCTCCCAAACTTGTCCCATGACTGTCAACTTTGAGGGCTTATTCTTAATCTTTTAATGAACCTTTAAGCTTCTTGGGTTCTCCAGGTGATGCTCCCCCTCTTATGGGGACCATTTCCACACTATGGTTCACCTAAGTGGAAGCTTTAAGCATTTAGCCATTCTATAACGTGTCCACCTTCTCCAAAGCAATTAAACTGCATGCCAAATTTATCTTAGTGGTACTCGCTTTATGTTTACGTCTCTTAAAAACTTTATTACATTACAGTTTTGTACAATGGTAGTTTTTTTTTGCAGATACAAGTTACTTTTTCTGCCTCTGAAAATTAAATTGGCCTCATCTGTTTACTTTGTCAGCAGTTTTTAAACAAATAGATGAAAACCATGAAATAAGCTCCACCGTTGCTTTGCGTCGTATAAACAAGCCATAAATAAATTACAAATGCTGATTATTTTCAAAAGCACGTCTCGGATTTCCGGCTCTTTCCGGGCCCTGTCCGCTCCCACCCCGTGTCACTTTACAGTTACAGTCTGCAGGACCTGTCCACGTACCCCCCCGCAGGGATCTATCCCAGAGACGAGCTGCCAAAGCAAGACCAATGGCTTGTTTTAAAGATAAATAAGCAGTAATTAACACAGGACGCTGAAGGTGTTGACACCCAAACGGTGTCTTACGTGTTTGCATGTTAAGCAGCCCTGCGGGGGGGCGCTGTAAAGGTAAACGCCACAGAGTGTAAACACGGCTTTACCCAAAACCTCATGCATGCTTCACCTCTCCAGTGTTCTGAGCTCATTTCATAGAATTTGCAGATTGTTTTGGAGCAGTAAAGAATATCAAAGCGCATCTACTGAGACCATGCAGAGTCAGCACCTCCCGCGCGCCGCTCGTGTGACAGATAGCGCTTCGCAAAAAGGATGTGCTGTCGTTAGACCCGAAGGCGCTGGGCCTGCTGTAGCTACAGAAAAAGCCTCCTTCCTGAGTGGAAATGTGTTCCCGCTTCGCTTGCGGTATCAACACGTTATTTATATAGACAGATATGCGCATACTTATTGAACCCTGAGCAACAGTGTATGAAATTAAATGCTTTGTTTTCCAGCTAATTATGAAAACAACATTACAAATTGTTAAAATTGTATGAAGCACCATAGGGTTGGGATGATATTAATTTTATGTTTTTATTAATTCTGTTTAATAATACTATTTGTTTGTCTGAGAGCTTGAGCAGAATAATAAGCAGTACAAGCCCCAGCTTAGGTGGCACAAGCTGGTGTGGTGACACTTCCTCTCCGTGTCCTGCAGAGAGCGCCATCCAGGCGTTCGGCAACGGTACGGACGTGGGGGTATGGCAGCCCGTGCCCCCAGTGCACAGCTCGACAGCAGCTGCCTCGCCGTCGCAGAGAGCTGGGGAGCGCTCCCCCAATGACCTGGATCTCAGCGTGTTCACCCACCGGCCCGACACCGTCCGTGGCTCCGTGTACCACTTCTGTGGGAACCTGCAGGTAAAAGGACACATTACTGGCCCCCAGCCGGCAGGGCGCACCAGTCCATCAAAGCTCATCCTAGTTCTCTCTCTCACTCTGTCCCATCACATTCCCAGGGCCCGTTTCCATTCTGCTAATCTAAGGACTTCAGGATGTGTTTATAACCACATTAATTTCAGTCATTTCCAAAAATCAGTCCTTTGTTTAAAAAAGCTGCTGCCGCAGAAGTGAGCCCTGTGGACCCCCAGTGACTGAGGGCTTGGTGTCTGTACAACTGCCCTCATCTGCTGTTAGATCACAGTGCTTGTGGATCTGATTAATGAAGCTAAAGGAATTACACCGTAACATTTCATACCTATGACTGACCAGAAAACTAGAAGAGCTGGTCCTACAGTCTTTGTTTCCAACTTCATGCTGCAATAACAGCTAAGAGGTGTAGCTCTTCTTCAGACTCTTGTTAATTTCTATGCTTTGGCGTGTAATTTATGTCCACCACTTGTGCTCACAGTGAGTTGAAGTTTTTTTCCCACACAACCCAAGGAAACCTGTTAGCCTATGATCTCTCACATCTCCTGCAAATCACCACTTTCGGCTGCAAGCTGGAGGGGGCGCTGTGCTTCTGTGGGTGGATGGTATTGGGCGGGGGGGGGGCGATGCCCCACCGCTCTGCTGACCTTCAGAATCCCGCTTTATCTGGAAAAGCCGCCCCTCCGCTTTTTAAGCGGAAAACCACCTTAAATGTTTGTTTTTAAAACGCGATGCTATCAGATGCACATCCATATTTTTAATGCCCCTATTTATCACGTTAGTTTAATAGTGTTAATATGATTTATGCGGTCTGACTTTCTGTGTCGCGCGGACCTCCTGCTGCGTGATTAATCACGCACTTCTATCTTATTTTCCAGAAGTTTCTTGTTATTCCCCTGCTACGTGCGCGTGTGCGCTGCGATCGCGCGCTGGGCTCAGGTGAAGGCGCTTCATCACGGGGGCCCGTCCACAGCACTGACAGAGCGGCCTGTCATCTCTCATCCTGTCACACACTGTGCACGAGGTGGCCGGCATCCTCGTTAGATATAACAGCACTCTCCTGGATGGTCCTGGAGACAGAACTGGTGCGGGGGTGCGGCCCAGACCCCACCCATAGACCACCTGGGCCACCCAGGAAGTGATGCAACCGTTACTGCAGATACACAACTACTTGAAGCCCTCTTAACAGTCGGCACTCACACCCTGGCCAGCTAGACCCTCCCTCAGCATAAGGGCGCGAGATCTTCTGTGCCGTCAGAAATAGTAGATGTACCTGCTGAAAATGCATGGTTATCGCTATTGGGCGAAAGCTGCTTTGACCTGCCTCTCTCGCCTCCCATAGGCCCAGAAGCTGAGGTCGAACAACACTACTGACCCAGTGCTGTGCATGGTGAGTCCCTCCCCACCCCGGCATAGTCTGCTTTGACACGCCCCCCCCCCTGTCCTCTCGGCTCTGCTCAACACACATTTCCAAGCCCCAGATCAGCTGCACAGCCACCCTGTTGGGAAGCTCTCAGTCACATGGTGTTTTTCCCCAAAAATCAATTGGGCCACTTTCAGTGTGTTCAAAAAGGCCCAGGCAATTGTGTGCTGAGCTCAAAGCCGCCCCGGGCACTGTACTGATAACACCTGCCGAAACTGGCCATGACACGTGTGCAGAGAACCATTGATCGCAAACGTCTGAGGAGAGATGGCATGCTGGGGACAGTCATGTGACCCAGAGAGACGGCATGCTGGGAATAGACGTGTGACCTGGAGAGCTCCCTCACCCCACAGGGAGGCGGAAGTGTTTATTAGACTGATGTGTGGACAGACACAGACAGACAGGCAAAGATAGACAGACCAAGACAAGGAGAGTCAGACAGGGAGAGAGACAGACAGACATATAGGGTGATACAGACAGAGAGATGGACAGACAGAAACAGGGAGAGGGAGAAAAAGACAGAGACAAACTGAGACATGGGGAGACATACAGAGACAGGGAGAGAGACAGACAAACATAAAGACTTACAAACAGACAGGGAAAGAAACAGAGATACGGATGGAAAGACAAACAGACAGCTACAAGGATGGATAGAAAGACATACAGAGCGACAGACAAATGGGCAGGCAGACGTTATTTAAAATAGCGTTTGTGCTTTTCTGTGTTTGCGGGGCCACACTTGATTTCCACCTTATCTGCTGCGATTGAAAGTGCGTTAAATGTCAGTGTACATGATAAGCCAGCGTCAGTCTGCGGGGTGACATTTATACGCCCATCCCGGGGGCCCTGCGCCCACAACCCCCAGCCTCCGACAGGCGCGCAATCGCCCTCGTCAATATTAAAAGCCATTTTCAAAGTACACCGCAGCCACAAGCCAGGCTAATTCAGAGAAAACCAATTTCACCCCTTTAAACCTGACACCGAATAACGCAGCAGTGAGGAAGGCGCTTTCCTGCAGAGCGCTCCCTGCCTGCTGGACCTTTCACGTCTCTTAGTGGTTATTCACACACATGCAGACACACACACACACGTACACGCACTGAGACACACATGTACACGCACACAGACACACACACACACGTACACAGACACACACACATGTACACGCACACACACACACACACGTACACGTACACAGACACACACACATGTACACGCACACAGACACACACACATGTACACGCACACAGACACACACACATGTACACGCACACAGACACGCACACACGTACACGCACACAGACACACACACACGTACACAGACACACACACACGTACACGCACACAGACACGCACACACGTACACGCACACAGACACACACACACGTACACGCACACATACACACACACTCACACATACATACACACACACACATACATACACTCACACATACATACACTCACACATACATACACACACACGTACACAGACACACACACATGTACACGCACACACACACACACACACACACGTACACGCACACAGACACACACACACGTACACGCACACAGACACACACACACGCACACAGACACACACACATGTACACGCACACAGACACACACACTCCTCAGCCTTCCCCTCCAGCCCCGTGGCCTGGTGTCCCTGATGAGCCCATGGGTGACTGACGCGTCTGCTTGCAGGATGGTGACATTGTGGACGCCATCTTCCGGAACTGCTCTGCCCCCCACGCCGGCCTGCACAAGGGGGGACTCCTGCTGTTGCTCCTGGTGATGGTGCTATTGCTCCCACTCTCCTAGCTGCTTGGGGGCGCTGGGCCAGATCGCCTGTACAAAGAAGCCCATCCCCCCCCCACCCCCCCCATGCAGTTTGTTAACCCGCATTGTCATGCTTTCTGACATGAGGCCGCATTGAGTCTCTGCCCCAGAGCAGCAGCATTAGCGTGAAATAGGGGAGGGGGGGGGGGCTGCATGACCAGGTGGGGGGCGCTATTATTCTCATACAGGCAAACTTGTGATTTCTGCACATGTAAAAACATCTATCCTCCCTCGTCTGCCATCATGGAGATGGCAAATGCAGGAAAGAGAGAAGGTGACATGTGACCTGCTCCTCTCTGCTGTTAGTGTCCCCTGAAGGGCTGCTGCTCCCCTACACTGTGCTACACTCATCCTCATGACCTCAAGCTCTCGCTTCATGGGACGAACTCATAGCTCTACAACTCACCTAGACAGCAAGGACCCCAAAGGCCAGAGAAAACCGATCTCACCCAGACCCCAGAGATCACAGAGACTCATTCTCACCAAGACCCCAAACGACCAAGATCGTAGAGACTCATTCTCACCCAGACCCCAGAGATCACAGAGACTCATTCTCACCAAGACCCCAAACGACCAAGATCGTAGAGACTCATTCTCACCCAAACTACAGAGACCACAGAGACTCATTCTCACCAAGACCACAGAGACTCATTTTTACCTGAACCACAGGGACCACATTTCTGCCTCACCTGGACCATAATGGCCACAGATCCTGATTTAGACCATGCAGTCCATCCCACAATCTCACATCTGGGCAGATGGATATTGAGGCAGCAGCTAAACTGACTTCTTCGTTTGTTCTTCACAGCTGGACGTATCTCTGCAAAGTGATTTTCTTTTTTTTTTCCCCGACCGGAAAATCAGATTTAATTATTCCCCTGAGTAGAGTGATTGTCTGAAAAAGTGCTTGTGCACATAATTATCATTCTGACTAAAAACAGAAGACGACAGTGTCCTTTTAAACGTTCTCGAGAGCCCCGCCGATGTCTTTGCAGTTCCACTTTAGAGGTTGTCCTGCCAGCTTGCCCTGGGGTTCGGACTCTGGTGCACTGATGGGGTTCAACATGTTCACTTGGACCTCCTGCCCTGCCTACACGGCCCAGCACACTATCCCATCACACGCCATCCTCCCACCTTAGTGTGTCCACAGCCTGTGTCCCAGTGATCTGTTTAGAAGTCTTTTCATTAAACAGGATACAAATACATGACTGAATTGGAGAAACCTTTTGTTTCAATGGAAATCAATAGCATCTCAATAAATCCACATGATTTAACTCTCCCTTAAGGACCAAGGGAAAAGTTTTGTTTTTTATTTTATATATATATAAATATATATATAGTTCTCTAATGTAAGTATTTGTTCTGTCAGAAGATGTAAGCAAGCCCCTAAAGGCATCCATGAGAACATGGCCAGCACCACCACTCAGCGGGGCCTCATCCAAGCCACCATCACTGTCCTTCTGTGCTTCTGTTCCTATCGCTACCCCTTTCTCACCCGATGATCCCAAAAACTGGGAGATGTTTTCTGTTGGCAGCTTGGGAAAAGGTGTGTTTGAGCTCTGTACTTACAGGAAGTGGCTGTACACTGACAGGAAGTGGCACTGCCCTCTGCAGGGACGATGAGGGGTTGCAAGGGAAAGCAGACATTTGATGTTTGTATCCTAACATTTTTTTCTTGACAAAACTAATAAAATATCACTCACCCATTTGCCACATTTACTTCTTAGCTTGTGAAAATGTACAATCTGTTCTTTGAAATGAATAAACAAAATGTGGACTCAAATAAGATGCTTCTTTTGTCCATTTTGCTGTCCTGATGAGAGAACTTTCCTGAAGATGCTGTCTAACCTGGAGGCAGACGCGAGTCACTGTGTGTGTTTGCACGGAGGGCACAGGGGCTCACCAGGGCACTGATCTGCAGGAGTGTCACAGGAGACGCCGGGTACCAGCAGGCCGCCTGAAGCTGAAACGGGCCGCATCTCCGAGTGCCTCGCGGTCGCCGCCTCCACCTGCGTGTGCCGCAGCAACCGCGCTGCACTGCTGCAGTTAATGATCTCCGGCCTCCAACTGCATGGTCAGGGCCCAGATGGGGGGGGGCAGGAGGGGTCCTTCGCTGAGCGACACCCAGCCGTTTGATCTGCTGACCCTGCTGATGGAAGTTATGACTATATTAATTATTCATTGAAAACTTTGACCTCTCACAGCCGATGTTCTTTGATCTACCTCTCGTGGAAAAAAAGTACAACGGAGCTGGGTAATATTAAAAGGAAGTCATCGGTTATTACTGCAGGGCCAAAGGTCAGCAGATCGGATGCTGTCAGAGGAGGGCGCAGAGAGATTACTGACCAATTACGCTGTGATCCCACAATGCCTTGAGGCAGCAGGGATCCTGCAGGCGTGCGGGGGAGGGGGTCTATGCTGCCATCACCACGGGTTTTTCTCGGCGATAACGGCGGGGATTTGGGATTATTTGCAGGTTCTGTGAGGAGAGGCCAGGGTGAACACAAGTGCAAATGGCCTTAAAGGCGCTGCTGCCAGTCTAATCCCCATTTCAGCCACCATCCAGGATCCAACCCAGACACAGCCGAAGCCGTGCAAGCGATCAAAGCTGGAGGCTCCAGGCATAGTCACGTGGCATAAGGCAGCAGACGTCACCGTAACCATGACAGCAGGGGAGCTTCGTAACAGCCAGAGTGAAGGAGAACCCCCCAAACCCCCCATGGGAAAATTCAGCACTGGATGCAGTGTTTCCGTCTCCCTGTAACCGGCACTGAGTGACGCTTCTGTGTGGTCATGGCTCACTGTCGTGGACTCCATCCCTGAACACATGAAGAACAACTGGCCATCACATGGAGCACGTCAAGAAGAAGGAGGCCGTCGCACGGAGCAGCCCTCCCATCCCGGATGCCTCGCACAGATGTTAATCACCACTCTCTTCGTGGTTGGCACGCCAACCTTCATTCTCACTCATGATGAAGCGTGAGCACGATGAGACACAGTCACTTCCTGTCACGCTTCACGTCCGTGACGAGCAGTCGGAAAGCAAAACCGGACCGTCAGGAGTGAGCGGAGCAGAGGCCGGCCAGCTTCAGGCATGTTAATAGCGACCGGATGCCCATCCGTCACACCGGCATTCTTGCCATGGCTCCTGAACAGGTCCCAGGGGCCGCGGACTCCCCATCTACTTCAACACTTAATCCCTCAATTGAACTAATTAAACTGTATAATTGAAGCAATTTATCTAGGTTCTCAGTGACAAACTCATCCTCCCAGTAGAGTGCATGCAGAAGGCCACCTGTACCAGTCCCAGGGGTCTCCTCTACTGAGGGACACACATTACCTCATTAGCGCCCCAAGACCTCCCACCTAATGAGCCAGAAGGTGGACACAGGGTGGGAAGGGGGGGGGGGGAGGGGGGTCTTATTGCCCCTCCCCTGGATCACTACATCACACCATCTGCTAGTATCTGACATCGAGGGGAAAATGTCAAGGGGTATGTTTGCTTGGGAGAGCAGATCATGGAGAGGACTGAGGAATGTTCATCTCACAGTCTGGAGTTATTAGCAGCAGATGAGCACAGAGCGGCAGGTTCAGCAGGTGGGAGAAGCCAGGGGTGTCCAGGGCCTCTGAAAGGCCTCGCAGGGCAGCCCTGATCTGATCCTCCATCCAGCAGGCGCCAAAGCTCTCCATGGAAAAGCCAGAGATACATAATGTTAAAGCGCTGGGTTTACAAAAAACACACAGTGCGTCACACTCAAACCTGAGACCATGAACGGTGCAGACCACAGGGGAGCCGTCAGCATGAGGCTGCTGCCAGAGAGACTGCCACACCGCGGCCGCCTATGCCCCCGTTATTTGGGGACCTTCCAGAAACAAAGAGAGGAGGACGAAGATGAGGAAGAGGACGTGAGTAAAAGGCAGAGGAATGTAGGCTGGTAAACAGAGGAGAGGAAGGGCACAATGGGGAGATGGATAGAGTGGAAGAAAGGGGAGGAGGAGCCCACAGAGCGTACTAAGTGGGAGGGGTGACACGGTCATTCCCGGTGACATTCCCGGTGACATTCCCGGTGACATTCCGGCTCTCCCACGGGCCGCTGCACGTCACCGGCATCCCACACGCTCTTCTCGTATATGACTCACTCCACACAATGACGGTGCTGACCCGGCCAACCTCTGTGGCTACAATGTCCTGACGGGGCTGGACTGGGCCGCTCGCCGCGACACCCCCAAGAGCAAGGGGCTGCAAGCTAGGGCACTATATCATCCATGTGACCGACATGATGGCAGCTTCCAAACCGCACGGAGGCGGCCGGGCCATGGAAAAGCTATAGGCTGACCTCACGAGAGCAGCCGCGCCTTTGGGAGACTGTGGGTGATGCCCTCTGTGCCTGCAAGCCCATGCATACGCAATAGGCTGACCTCACGAGAGCAGAGACCCCCCCACTAACAGGTCTGTAGCCACACATGCAAACACAACAAACTTGTGCTAAGTCATCAATCCGCTGCCCCCTGGCCGCCCTGTATTACCAGTAAATCAGGGCCATTAATAGGACCTAATGCTGGCCCCAGACAGTCTGATTTAGTGGGGGCTGTTTCCATGAAGGCACCCCCGCCTGCGCTCCTTCTGCTACGCTCTGCTGGAGGCTGCCACGTCGCGTGATGTAAGAGCAAAGCAACACAACACGCCTGGTCTTCAGGTTCTGGACCAGAATCCTCTGGGGAGGGACACACAGACGTAGTCAGAGCCGGGGCGTGAGAACAGGCTACAGCTGAACTGGGCTCCGGGCTGGTCCAGGAAACAAGGGGGTCAGAGAGGGTCGAAGGTAACAGGGTGGAGAGTCACAGGGAAAAGGGGAATAGGGTGAAGAGTCATAGAGGGCAGAGTCACGGAAGAAAAAGGCTACAGAGTTAAGAGTCACAGTGGTCAAGAAGAACAGAGTTTAATGTCAGGGCAGTAAACAGAGTCATGGGTAAACTGATAACTGGCAGCTGAGCTCCCATGATTGGAAGGTTTTCTTCATGGTACTTTAAAGCCGACTTCAGTGAGAAGCAGAAACTGCCTAATTAGTTCAGCAGGCTGACATTTGCAGAGTAATGAATCCAGTAAAGGACACGGTGCCTGTCCCCAAAAGCAGGGACCAAAAGCAGGGACCTCAGCCCCTTTAAGCAGCACAATCGCAGCCTTTCAGCCGTCATCTTCTTTGGGGAGCATGTGTTGGGGCATGCGGCTGGCGGGGACCTTGATCACTGTGCCATTGCAGCGCTGGGAGTATGCGTGCCGGCGAACACGATCAGTGTGCCGTTACGGCACCGGGAGCGTCCGTGCAGGCAAGCGGCCCGGAGGGAACACGATCAGTGTGCCGTTACGGCACCGGGAGCGTCCGTGCAGGCAAGCGGGCGGGTGAGCGTCCTGGAGGGAACACGATCAGTGTGGCGTTACGGCACCGGGAGCCTGCGTGCAGGCAAGCGGCCCGGAGGGAACACGATCAGTGTGCCGTTACGGCACCGGGAGCCTGCGTGCAGGCAAGCGGCCCGGAGGGAACACGATCAGTGTGCCGTTACGGCACCGGGAGCGTCCGTGCAGGCAAGCGGCCCGGAGGGAACATGATCAGTGTGCCGTTACGGCACCGGGAGCGTCCGTGCAGGCAAGCGGCCCGGAGGGAACACGATTACTGTGCCATTGCAGCGCTGGGAGTATGCGTGCCGGCGAACACGATCAGTGTGCCATTATGGCACTGGGAGCCTGCGTGCAGGCAAGCGGGCGGGTGAGCGTCCTGGAGAGAACATGATCAGTGTGCCGTTACCGCGCAGGGAGTACGCGTGCGGGCGAGCGGCCGGGGGGCCTCTATCAGTGTGCCGTTACCGCGCAGGGAGTACGCGTGCGGGCGAGCGGCCGGGGGGCCTCTGTCAGTGTGCCGTTACCGCGCAGGGAGTACGCGTGCGGGCGAGCGGCCGGGGGGCCTCTGTCAGTGTGCCGTTACCGCGCAGGGAGTACGCGTGCGGGCGAGCGGCCGGGGGGCCTCTATCAGCTCCACTGCTGAGTCCAAGAGAAGATCAGCTTTAATTGTTCACAGGCTTTTATGCAGGGGTATGTGGACAGACAGGATTACATTACATGATGGAGCTGAGGGAGACAAGCAAAAGCAAATTAAAACCATGTCAACACTGTAACATTTTACAGGAACATGTCTTTAACCTCCAGCTTGAACATCTCAGGACCTCGGGATTAAAGCAAGTGACCACTGCAGACTCACGAGGTCTGAGTACCAAAGCTGGACACATCTTGACAGGGCACTGTGGGGGCATTAGGGGCACCTAGGCACTAGAGTATTATGGGTAAAGTTTCAAATGGCTTACCGTGAACTGAACCGCTCTATGAAAGGCTCCGTGTGAGGGGGGTCACATGCAATGGCAGACTTTACCACCTAACAAACCACGTGTTTGTGTGCAGATCCCAAGGTCTGGGGGAACAAACAGTCATTTACACTAGTGGGGGCCCAGAAACATGAGGCACACTGCAGGTGACATGCAGGTACCTATAGAGCAGCCGGATCCCATCGGACCCACACTGCACCTGAGAATCACACCCTTTCCACACTCCCATTTTTAAACATTTTATTTTACATCGTAATTTTGTTCATTACATAGAGAACATTGATACAGATTTATTCATAACATACAAAACAAAGGAAGGTGACCGGAGGAGGCCGTGTGTGCCCGGGGGCGGGGGCGGCCACGCTTTTGGCAGTCTGTTTAAACTGAATGCTCTCTTCACGGTTAAAAATGAGGCCTCTAACTTAACCGACTAACGGCAAAAAATCATACTAAGAGAGCAACCCGTCAGCGATCTTTTTTTTATTTTTTATTTTTTAAACATTTAACTGTCAGTTAGTGAAACTATTTCAAATTCGACGTGACTCAAACTGACAGTAGGTGGCGCTCCGGGGCCCGGGAGTAAATATGCCCTTTAGAGGCAGGGCTGTGCCTTGGGTAGCTTAGTGTAACAGTTCCGGGGGGTGGCGGTGGGGGAGGGGAGGCAGGCGGACACAGGCGGGGGGGAGTGACCTCCAAGGAACACTGGCAAACATGACATCCACGACGGCGGCGGGGAAGCCGGCACTCGCTCTGCACAGGCTAGACGCCGCCTTCTCCACGCGCCGCCGCTGGCTTCCCCTCCTGTCTGTAAGCACGTCCCCCAGAGCAGAGCTCCAGCCCGGCTGGCCGTGCGCGCCGTTCACGGCGGCCCTGATCCACAGCGCCCGAGCCAGTGCCAGCACATTACCGAGAGCTTATCTGTCATATTCACATTAAAAACAGACGCGTGACGCCAAGAGGTGACATTCACAGCCGAGATAAAAGGACCCTCAGGAGGACGGAGAGTCACACTGCGCTGTAACTCTTTATTTCCCAGCATGGCCTGATGGGTGTTTCTTCATAGCAGCGCTGTGCTGCGTGACGCGACCCCAATGACCTACATACAGTATGCATACGATATTTAAGTAACCATGACAGCTTGACACAGGTAAACGATAGAAGGCATGTTGAGGATGAGGTGAAAAGATATGTGTGTGACTGCAGCGCCCCCAGAAGGCTGGGCAGACTCATTACAGCAGTACCTGGGCCATGTAACATGGGCCGGTACTTTCGTCCACCACTAATAAAAAGGAGTAACTAACAACCTACACTTCATCTTCATCATTATCATCGTCGCCATCGTCATGGATAAGAGAGCAGATCTGTTCCCTGCATGCAGCATCATCCACTATTAAAACCAAATCAACAACAACAAGGGATAAAACAACCTGACAACATCGAGGACATCAGCGACAGGAAGGTACGCTCCATCCTGCGGAAGAGTGTTCAGGAGTCCGTCACGCTCCCCCGAAAGGCCGAGTGCAGGGCGATCGCGCTCCCTCACGGCTGACGCTGCTCACCAGTTGCTAGGGCGACGGGCCTCCCACCAAGCAACAGGCTGCTCCTGGAACCTTTCAGAATTCCAGGACGGCACAATCTCCACCCTCCAAGCAAGGCAGTGGGGGTGGGGGCACTTGGAACTGACAAGGTGACCAGAGGAACCAAGTGGTGAGCTGCTCAATTGACCTTTGACTCCTGCTTGGGTCATTCGTCCTTGGGAGGGAGGGGGTGAAGGGTATCCATCTCTGCAGCAGATTTAGGTCTGGTCCGGTCCTGGGAGATGTCCTGGCATCCAGCCAGAGAATGTCATACAAAAAGGACAGAAAAACAGAAGGCAGCCGTACAAAAACCACTTAAAAACGGAACATGCTTTTCCTCTTATACATGATAAAGACGGTTCAGCTTTCGACAGCTACTGCGCCGGGTGGGGGCGGGTGGCGGCCCCCCGTGCTAAGAACAAAAACACAACAGAGAGACCCTGTCAGTCCAGGCCTAGGTGGGTGGGCGGGGGGGCTGACAGGATTCGGACCTGAGCTTCCTCAGGAGGAAGCCGGGAAATGGAGTAGCCCCGGAGCAGGCGGAAGAGGAGGGGCGGGAGGAGGGGGGGACTCCGGCGCGCAGGCTCAGACGCAGGTGCCCTGGTGCAGGGGGGGGTGCGGCTTGCGGCTCTTCAGACCCAGACTCTTCTCCTTGAAGTCGGCAGGTTTCTGCTGCGAGGTGTCAACCAGGGCACTGGCGATGGCGATGCCTGAGGGCACAGGGGCATTATGGGAAAGCTGTGTGTGTCTGTGTGTGTATGTGTGTCTGTGTGTGTGTTTGTGTGTGTGTGTGTGTGTGTGTGTGGCACTGCTGTCCTGTATTGAGCATGCTGCTCTGCGCTGACTCCTCCGTCCTACTCAATAATTTAAGAGCCACATTCCCGATACAGAGAAATCCTCCAAGGAGCCACCTGGGCCTGGCAGGGCAGCATGGCGTGGGTTTACACACAGACACAGAGACACACACAGACACAGACACACACATACGCACACACAGACACACACACGCACATATACACACACACACAGTCACACACACACACACTCGATCTGGCTAACCACAGCAACTGGATTACCTGGGATTTACCGCATTGAGGCAAAACCACAGAAGCAGCATGTTTTCCCAAAAAGGAGTGGGGGGTGAAGTGCTGAACCATGCTAGCGCAGCCGCCCGAGTCGCCCACGTGTCCCTCACACAGCAGGGTGGACGGAGAACACCCCTCTTTACCAGCAACACGGAGAACACCCCTCTTTACCAGCAACACGGAGAACACCCCTCTTTACCAGCAGCACGGAGAACACCCCTCTTTACCAGCAATCCCACGTGTCGACATCATCCACGTGGCCAATGGTGTGGCGACGCCCCATCTTTGAGAAGAGGAGGCGTGGTGGGGCAGTGCACGTGTCCGCATGCTAATTACATTTTTCGACAAGTGAATCGCTCGGATGGCAGGAGTTGCTAATTCCAGTGATGAGCATTCCGATTATTCCGACGCTTTTGTCCAGAGACCTACTAGTCAGCATCAAAGTACATGGCCGGTATTCCCAGAGCCATTGGGTTTAAGGTCCTTGCTAAAGGCTCCAGTGTTGATATGGTTACTCTGCAGGTCATGGGATTTCAAATCACAACCCTCCAGACACGGGTGCAGAACTCGAACCCCTGAGCCATGCACTGCCCTTGAACATTCCTGTGACTTCAGATGGGTCTCTGATCCCAGACTTGTATAATATGAAGTGTCTGCATTACTCAAAAGGAGTGGCTCTATCCCGAAACTGTCAGACAGAACCTGACCTCCAGCCTGTGGCAGCAACACAGAGCAGCTAAAACGAATGATTTTATTTTAGCACATTAACATTTCATTCTAAAAACCATGTTTACACTCAGCAGTGACTTATGGACATGAACTGCGATGTCAGCATCTTCAAATTTGACAAGGGGACATCACTTATGCAGTATCAAGTCCCTGGTTACAGCATTCTGGGGTCGAGATTTGTCAAGATTTTCAGGATTCCTCGAAGGACAGATGCCCTGACTCCAGTGGCTACACTGATAAGAGCACTATGGGACCAGATCCAACACCCCTGGTGTCCACATCTAGTCCCCCGCCGCTGGGAGTGCCACAGCCTGGCTCACTGAAGAACACGGCCGCACGCGTGACATCACGCCTGAGTCAATGTCCCCGCTGGGTGGGGGGCCGCAGTGCCACACGATTCCCCCCCGGCTGTCAGACCTGACCTTGAATCACACTAACTGCTGATCTGATTGTTGATATGCTTCAAGGAGACCATGCAGACGGGAACCTGCTCTCTAGGGCTGAAACGAGGGGGGGGGGGGGGGGCGCTTTTGTTTGGGTAATTCCTCTTTGCTGTCCTGTCACAAACACGGCACAGACGGAATAAACAGACACTCATTAAGCTTGAGAAGCGAATTGCCTTGTCAGAGTGAGCGGGTCTGAAGGACCACTATTCAGCCGGGAATACATTCAGGTCGGCAACAATTGTCTTCACGATGAGAGTGGCGTCACTGGTGGGGGGGCTTAGGTTTTTGGAGAAGGTGGGGGCGGGGCTGAGTGCGACAATAGAGCTGCTGTTGACATAAGATGTGGCTGTTGGGTAAATTGGAGGGCAAGTCACAGCTAGTGGAAGGAGGTGGGGCGTGGTTTGTGTGAGGAGGGGCACAGATGACATGTAGGGGGTGTGGTTTGTGTGAGGAGGGGCACAGATGACATGTAGGGGGTGTGGTTTGTGTGAGGAGGGGCACAGATGATACGTGGGGGTGTGG